TTGATGTGTAAATTTGAATAATAGTCATATTAACTGGTCTTTCTTGTAGGCATATGGATGTTATCCTATTACTAACAACGTTGTACTTCAGGATAGATCCTGAAATGTTCTTTTTGATGATGAACATAATGCCATTCCTCTTCAATGTGTCATTCCCAGCACAGCAGACCATATGATGGTCTGATTCAAAATGGCCAATACCGGTCCATTTCAGTTCACTAATGCCTAGGATATCGATGTTTATGTGTTCCATTTCATTTATGACGACCTCTGATTTTCCTAGATTCATATTTTGTACATTCCACTTACCGATTATTAATGGATGTTTGCAGCTGTTTCTTCTCATTTTGAGTCATACCACATCAGTAAATGAAGGTCCCAAAAGCTTGACTCCACGTCATTAAGGTTGACTCTACTTTGAGGAGGCAGCTCTTCCCCAGTTGTATTTTCAGTGCCTTCCAACCTGAAGGGCTCATCTTCTGGAACTATGTCAGACAATGTTCCACTGCTATTCATAAAGTTTTCACTGGTCAATTTTTTCAGAAGTAAACTGCCAGGTCCTTCTTCCTACTCTGAGTCTGGAAGCTCCACTGAAACCTGTCCGCCATAGGTGACCTTGCTCGTATTTGAATACTGGTGGCATAGCTTCCAGTATCACAGCAACACGCAAGCCACCACAGCATGACAAACTGACAGACGTGGTGGTTTTAAAGAGTAGAGATTTTAATTTTAGAGAGCCCTTGGCTGCTAAAGGCAAAATGATCAATTTTAAAATAACAGAATTATTTTTCTAACCTAATAACAAAACCTAAAAGCAATCACTCTATTTGTATAAGACACTCTTTCTTCTTCATATTCAGATATAAATTGACTATTTTGCTAATTACAAATACCGAATGAAGAAAGTTATAACTATGAATATAGGTTATCACAGAATACCGTTTAGGGCTCTGAACACAAGAAACATGATTAGTAGCTCATTTTCTAAACGGGCTGAATCAGTGAATACCAGAAATGCTAAAAAAAATGCTATTTTTATATCCTTTTTAAGTGGCTAGGTGAAATAATAATCCTACGTACTATATTGCTAACTTTGGTTTTTATTCCAAACACCATTTCCTAAATGTAATTCCTTTTGAGAGGATTTTCCACTCCAAGCACTTTTCTCGCCTTTTTCAAAAGCTTATCGAAATCTCACTTTATCCATGAAACCTTTCCTATTAAGACACATAGAATAAGGATTACCCAACTGTTCAATTTCAAAAACAACACCTGAGTCTGAAATTAAATTAAATTGGAGGTGTCTCTGTGCCTTGTGACCATGGTTAACTGTCACTCTTTTAAAGAGGCCTCGGCCTGAGCAAGCCCTGGTCCAAGGGAGCCCTGGCCCGAGTGCCCTGCGATGCTGATCTCTGATATCCCTGGCACCACCGCAACATGGGGAGTTTATTTAGATGCAGAGACAGACTGTGCCAGCCGACTCAATGCCTCAGAGAGTCGACCTGGCTATCCACAGAACACTCATCTAAAATCAAAATTATAGAAGGCTTAAAAACCCTGGTCTTACTGAAATTCCAAATTAAAGATCTGTTAAAAAAAAAAAGCACAAGCTCCTCTATTTGCACTCTCCTTCTGTACATAGATCAAGAGGCAGTTATTCAAACAGAACAAGGGGATACTGCGTGGTTTAAAGTCAGGAAAGGTGTGTGTCAGGGTTGTATACTTTCACCATACTTACTCTATCTGTATACAGAGCAAATAATCCGAAAAGCTGGACTATGATAGGAAAAGCACTGCATTAGGATTGGAGAAAGACTCATTAACAACCTGTGATATGCAGATGACACAACCTTGCTTGCTGAAAGTGAAGAGAACTTGAAACATTTCCTGATGAAGATCAAAGACCACAGCCTTCAGTATGGATTACACCTCAACATAAAAAAAAAAAAAAAATCCTCACAACTGGATCAATAAGCAATGTCATGATAAACGGAGAAAAGACTGATGTTGTCAAGGATTTCATTTTACTTGGGTCCACAATCAACGTCCATGGAAGCAGCAGTCAGGAAATCAAACGACGTTATTGCTTTGGGTAAATCTGCTGCAAAAGACCTCTTTAAAGTGTTTTTAAAAAAAAAAAGATGTCACTTTGAGGACTAAGGGGCCCCTGACCCAAGCCATGGTGTTTTCAATCGCCTCATAGGCATGCGAACCTAAATAATAAAGAAGGAAGACCCAAGAAGACTGATGCCTTGGAATTATGGTGAAAGAATACTGAATATCCCACGGACTGCCAGAAGAATGAACAAATCTGTCTGGGAAGAAGCACATTCAAAATGCTCCTTAGAAGAGAGGCTAGCTAGACTTCGTCTCACATACTGTGGACATGCTCTCAGGAGGGACCAATCCTTGGAGAAGGACCTCATGCTTGGTAAAGAGGGTCAGTGAAAAAGAGGAAGACTCTCAATGAGATGGACTGACACAGTAGCTGCAACAATGGGCTCAAACACAGCAACGACTGGAGGATGGCACAGGACCCAGCAGTACTTCGTTTTGTTATACCGACTTGAGGGCCCCTAACAACAATACCTGTTTATACTGTGTCTGTAAAATGGACCCCTTATCACAGACCTAACGGTTCCCTGTAGAAAGCTAGCCTCAAAAACTGCAGGGTATGCTGGCGGTGTCAGGAACTGGAAGCAACACAGGAATTTGGGGGAAGTTACTCCCAACTTTCCCTCCTCCAGTCCTTGAGGTCCACAGACTCAATATGAACAGCGACTTAGCAGACTCCATCCAGAGCTAAGGCAGGTCTCTGGGGCCCAAAGGATATGTGGTGGGTAGTGTTTTTTTTTCAGTATGTCTGCCAACTGTTTGACACTCCTTCTATCAAGAGGTGGAGTATAACTGCCCTTTCCTTGGTCTTAGTAATCTTCTTCTAACGAACAGAACACAGCAGAAATGACATCAAGTTACTTCAGAGGCTGGTTAGAAGTTATTTGCTTCCTCCTGGCTCTCTCCGGGGACCATACACTTGGAAGCAACCACTAGGCCATTAGGAAGCCCAGGTCACATGCAGAGGCCATGCAGGTGCTCCCCTATGGCAACAGCCAGTGTCAGCCAGCAGGCTGGTAACTCCAGCCCAGCTCCTGTCTGACTGCACCACACAAAACCCCAAGAACTGCCAACTGAGCCCACAACTCCTAGAGCCACAGCAGATGATGATGGTGGTGATGATAAATGAATGTTGCTGTTTTCTGCCTGCCACTAGGTTTGGGTGGCTTGTTATGCAGCAATAGAACAGGGGGTGAAGGTGCATTTCCAGGAGCTGCAGGACAAGGTCTAACTGTGTGAAAACTGGCACAGGCCGCACCCTGGCCTAGGATGGGGACCTACACTAACAGCTCGTGGGGCAGGCCCAAGGCTAACAGAGACCAGTGGGGACTGATGCTCAGCACTGACTGTGCTGAGGCAGAGCAATCTCCAGGAGGCTCACACCCCAGCCAGACCACAGCCTGGTGACACTGGGTGTGTCCCACACTGACCCTGGGAGGCCCGTCTGTCCTCTGGGAGGCTCACACCCCAACCAGACCACAGCCCAGAGACTCTCAGTGTCCCATGCTGGTCCCACACTGACCCCGGGAGGTTCTTCTGTACCCTTGCTCCTCCAGGTTCGGGCATGGGATCAAGGGAAATGGGAACTGCTGGTCCTCCATGAGGGGTGCATGGACCTGTCTCCTCTCAGGGCTGCAGGAGGGCAGCACAGCTGGCAGAACCAGCCCTACATTTACAGCTGCTGCAGGGGAAAAGCAAGGCTGCAAATTGGGCAAAAAGAAACATTCAGACCCTTCTCGTCCGGAGCTCCCAAAGCTCCCAAAGCGCGGCTTGTTTCTCAAATCTATAGCACTGCCTATCTGTCAACTCCCCAGGAAGCAAAGAGCTAACTAACTTGCTTCCTTTCTTTAAAAAAAACTTTAACTCTCTAAGAGGAAATGTGGAAAAACAGTGCCAGGAAGTTCTGAAGTCCTCTCCAACATCACTCTGCTTGAGAGAGGTGAATGTGATCGTTTACGGAACAAAAGATGAATTTCGGCACAGTGAAACTCCACCTGCTGGGAACGGAGGGTTACGCCTTCAGTGCTTAGGGAAGGCAGGACACCCACCCTTGCCGAGGAAATCACACAGACAGCGTTCATCATGCGGTAGGTATCAAAGACAAAACTCAGGCTAAGATCCCTGGTGTGGCCACCGCTTTCATAATACCTCAAGTGTTTTTCACCTTACTGAAAAATGAACAGTATAGGTAAAACTTACCACAAAAAAAATCATTTTATACAAAAAAAAACCCTTAAGATTGGAATTCCTACTCTGAATGTAAAAAATGGAATTGCTTTACAAGAACAGGTATTCCATATTGCTACAGAGGTAAGACTTCATTTGACTTGGTGTTGTTGTGTGCCATTGAGTTGATTCTGACTCACAGAGACCTGACGGGACAGAGTGGAACTGCCCCATACGGTTTCCAAGGCTGAAAATCTTTATAGGAGCAGATGGCCAGGTCTTTTCTCCCGCGGAGCGGCTGGGGGGTTCGAACCACTGATCTTTCAGTTAGCAGCAAAGTGCTTAACCATTGAGCCAGCAGGGCTTCTCACTTGACTAGGTCAAGGTAAACGTTAATGATACTAAAAGAATTCTTTCCTCGCTCACACTGTAGTGTTTTCTAGCTGCAGTTCCTTCCCGCTGGGACACGGCTTGGATTCTCTTCATTTCTCCAGCCTTAGTTATCTGATATGCAAAATGGAGTTAACAATACCAGCCTTCTCAGCAAAGTGAGCCTCAAGGAATCACAGGGAAGCATTACTGCAATGCACTTCATAAACATTTGCACTTTTAAAGCCCTCACGTGTGAAGTCTACGAATTCTCTCCTTCTCTGTCCCTATCTCATTACTTGAAACTTAAGTTGGCAAAGTGGCTCTTATAAAAAGTTTAAATGATTTACCTTTGTTACTTTGTCCGTTCTCCTTCTGGGATGAGAAAGTAGTTCAGGAAAACAGGCATTCAGGAGAGAGTACTCGGGGTACCTCACAGTGTGTGGCCAATCTGAGAAAGAACTTCAACACAGTAAGAAAGGAGAAAAAAAGAATTCTCATGACAGTGGAGGCCAGCTTCCAGATATCACTATAAATAGCTAAGACAGTTTACTGAATTCTCAGTACTTGGAAGACTCATTCCCAAATAAATGCTCTTCTCTCCATCTCAATTATCACTGTGTAAGTCCAAGTTTTGCGCTATTTCAATGGCCTCCTAATTGGCCTTGTTGTTAGCTGCTGCTGAGTCAGCCCCCAACTCATGGTGACCCCATGCACAAGGGAACAAAACGCTGCCTGGTCCTGTGCCATCTCTACGATCAGCTGTGCATTGGACTGTTGTGATCCATAGGGTTTTCAGTGGCTGATTTTTGGAAAGAGATCATCAGCCCTGTCTTCTTAGTCTGTCTCTGTCCGGAAGCTCCACTCAAACCTATTCAGCATCACAGCGACACCCAGGCTTCCACTGACAGACGGGTGGTGGCTGTGCATGAGGTGCATTGGCCAGAAATCAAACCTGGGTCTCCCACATGTGTGTCAGAGTGCTCCATAGGATTTTCAGTGGCTGATTTTTCAGAAGTAAATCACCAGGCCTTTCTTCTCAGGTGCCTCTGGATAAATTGGCACTTCCAAACTTTCAGTTAGCAGCCTAGTCGTTATCAGACTGTGCCACCCAGGGAAGGTGAGAATTCTACCACTGAACCACCACTCCCCCCAACTGGCCTTCTTATTCCCTGCAAAAGACCTTCCCACTGCTACCAAAGCATCATACTAAAACCGCAAATCTGAAATCCTACCCTTTCATTCTGCAACTTCCTTTCTAAAGCTTGATGGAGAGTTTGGGATGAAAACAGCATCGTACAGTGGTTATGATCAGACTCTGGAGGCACACTACCTGACAGGAAATTTCAACCCCACACTTAGGCAGCAAAACTGAAGGCAAGTTACTTCCTTTTGTTTTTAATTTTTTTGATAACAGCTTTATTGAAATATAATTCACACAGTACATAACTCACCCATCCCAAGTGTCCATGTCAACGGCTTTTAGTATATTCACAGAGCTGCGCCACCATCACCAATCAATTTTACAGCATTTTCATTACCCCTAAAAGGAACCTAGTACCCATTAGTGAGAAGCCCTGGTGGCGCAGTGGTTAAGTGCACGGCTACTATCCTAAAGGTTGTCAGTTCAAACCCACCAGTCTCTCCACAGGACAAAGATGTGGTGATCTGCATTCGTAAAGATTACAGCCTTGGAAACCCTATGGGGCAGTTCTACTCTGTCCTATAGGGTCGCTATGAGTTGGAATGCACTTGATGGCAACAGGTTTGGTTTTGGGTTTACCCACTAGCAGTCACTCCTCATTTTCTATAAGGAACAGGTATCACTTTTATAATCAACGGGGAAAACGAATGATTTTTAAAAATGTGAACATGTCATTCTCCTGCTTAAAGCAATCAAAGGCTCCTGACACTTACAGGACATACACAAACCTTCGGACCTGGCCCCTGCCCATTCTCTGACTTTCTCTAGCTCAGCCCTTCTGCTCCAGCAACACTGAAGTCTCTGTAGTTTCCCAAACATACTGCTTCAGTGCCTTTGCACAGGCTGTCCTCTCTACCTGGAATTCCTCTCTCTTTCTGCGTGCCTCACAAATTCCCATTTTATTGTTCAAAACCCAAACGTGGCTAGGAGAACTATGTCTTGGCCTTTTCTTCGTATCCCTAATTCCTAGCACAATACTTAACTTACAGCAGAAATTTTTAAAATGTGCTGAGCAGAACTGCAACTATTTCCATGTAACAAGGAAAAGAAAGGAATCATATTTATAGTTACCCGCTGTATTTCAGTGTATTTGCTCCAAAGCATACTGAATAGAAGGAGAGGTGACAAGTCCTTGCCAACTATAATACTAACAGCTAACATTTATTAAGCACTTGCTACATGCCACACTTTTTTTAAATAGTATTTTATTGTATTTTAGATGAAAGCTTACACAGCAAATTAACTTCCCACTTAACAATTTTTATACAAATTGTTCTGTGACATTGGTTACAATGTTGACAATGTGTCTTCTGTCAGCGTTCTCATTATTTCCATTCTGCTGGTTCTGTTTCCATTGATTTAGCTTCCCTTCCCCTCCTTGCCTTCTCACTTTTGCTTTTGGGTAAATGTTGACTGTTTGGTCTCATATTGTTTAAGGAAACACATTACTCATGGGTGATACTGTTTATTTTATAAGCCCATCTATTATCTGGTTGAAAGGTGACCTCCAGAAATAGCTTCAGTTCTAAGTTCAAAGAGTATCTTAGGGTGATAAGTCTCGGGGGTTCCTCTAGTCTCTATCAGTCCAGTGGGTCTTGACTTTTTTAGGTTGAGTTTTGTTCTATGTTTTCCTCTCATTATGTCTCAGACCTTCTATTGTGCCCCTGGTCAGAACAGTTGGTAGTGGTAGCTGGGCACCATCTAGTTCTTCTGGTTTCAGGTTAGAAGAGGCTGTGATTCATGTGAGCTATTAGTCCTGTGGAGTAGTTTCTTCTCTGAGTCTTTCATTTCCTTCATTCTCTTTTGCTCCATATGAATAGAGACCAATAGTTGCCTCTTAGATGTCCGCTTGCACGCTTTGAAGACCCCAGACGCCACTTACCAAACTAGGATGTAGGACATTACCTGTGAGAACGATGTTATGCCAATTGACTCAGCTGTCCTCTGAGACTATGGTCCTAAGCCTTTTAACCCAATAAACCAATCCCATGAGTTGTTTGGAGTACCACACTGTTTTAAGCAAGTTATATGTATTAACTCAATCCTCATAAGATTCCTATGAAGTGGGTACTATTATTAATATAAAACTAGTTGCCATCCAGTCAATTCTAACTCATAGCGACCCCAGGTGTGTCAGAGTAAAACTGTGCGCCACAGGCAATGGCTGATTTTTTGGAAGTAGAATGCCAGGCCTTTCTTCCAAGGCGCCTCTAGGTGGACTTGAATTACCAACCTTTCAATTAGCAGTTGAGCACATTACCTGTTTGTACCACCCAGGGACTCCATTGTTAATATACTAATATATTATTAATATAATGAATATAATTTACTATCTAAAATAATTTTCTTCAGACCTTAACATATCAGCACCTGTTAAAAGTTTTAAGCTGAGAAATACTTTTACAAAAAGTATTAAAATAATCATAAGCCGGTTAGAAATGTCTCCCAATTCCACTGAAAACTGTTATTTGTCTTTAGGGCTCTAAGAGGAAAAAGGATTGGACATGCAAACATTGTGACTTTATAGGTAGAGGAAAGTACCTGAGCAACAGCTGTAAGGATATAAAAGCACTGAGAAGAGATGAGTTCAGTTTGACTGGGGACAGTCGTGAGGTCAGGCTAAGGAATTTAAATACAGGCAACAAGCAGCTGTTGACAGCTTAAGAAGCTGAAGTACCCCTGAGACTATCGCCCTGAGATACCCTTTAAACTCTGTACTGAAACCACACTCAAGAGGTCACCTTTCAGCTAAATAACAGAAAGGCACATCACCCGTGAGTCCTGTGCTCCATTAAAAAATCATCGGTATGAGACCAAACAGTCAACATTTACCCTAAAGCAAAGATGAAAAGGGGGGAGGGGCGGGAAAGCTAGATGAACAGAAATGGAACAACCAGAACAGAAATAATGAGAATGCTGACACCTTGTGAAAAATGTAACCAATGTCACTGAACAATATGTATAGAAATTGTTAAATGGGAACCTAATTTACTGTGTAAACTTTTACCAAAAACACAGTAAAATATTATATTAAAAAAAAGAAGAAGAAGCTGAAGTAGAAGAAATGTGTCATGGAATCTCAGGGACAAAAGAGCTTCGATTAGGAGAAGGAGGCCAAATGCTCTGGCGTTGGAAAGGAGGAGACATGCAATGGGGGCTGTAACCAACAGCACAAAACAACTTGGGTATGAATTTTTGAATGAGAAGCTAATTTGCACCATGAACTCTCACCTAAAGCTCAGTTTAAAAAGAAGGAAGATGCTCTTCAAAAGACTTCACCAAAAGAGTAAAAAGAGAACCTACAGACCGGGAAAAAATTTTTGGACAGTACAAGTCAGACAAAGGTCTAATCTCCATAATCTACAAGAAAATCCAACACCTCTACAACAAAAAGACAAATAAT